GGAAAAAGATTAGGTTGTAAGTCTTATTGTAGCAGAGCTGATTGGTCAACGGGAAGTAACTCGTAGATTCGAACATAAATAATTACGTTGTTATAAAACTTCAAGGGGCACTCATTAAATTAAAATCGATCAATTTAGGTTATAACACTTGTCTGAGCTTTCATTTTGTAAAGCAAATAAAAAAAGGCAGCATTCAGGTTGTATGTGTCAAACGACGCCATGAATCCCAGAACTATCTAAACGGCTCAGTCGAAAAATTAATGGAGATTTAAAAAATAAAAAATAACTACGCGACTTATAACGGTAAAGAGTTTGTAAGTTCTCACGAGCTGCTCGAGTAACGCGGTTCACTTTAAAATGATATCCATAGCTTATCACAAAGATTACAGGTTTGTTGTTAGTTACAGTCGTTTCAGCTTAACGCCAATCAAAACAGTAGTTTTGCATTGTCAACTAATCAAAGCGCGACCCACTTGCTAAGCCCGCCCACAAAACGGACACGTGTCGATCGAAATGAACGGACATGCGCATTTATCATCAATGCTTGCATTGCATGGAAGAAATGAGCAGCCATTAAAAAAAAGTTACGTTTTTATGAAATTCAAAAAGCAGAATACAAGAAATGGAGGGAAAAGCGATGTAAGCGCATAGTAATTTTTGTTTCAGTAAACTCAAACAGTTTATTAACGTTTTCAAATATTAATATCGCATGTTTTATCCAATTCATTCGTTATGGCAGCACAAGTTGTCTTGCCAAACTTTTTTCAGTGCTAATGTTTTGAATTGAATTTACCTTTTCTACTAAAGTTTTTAATGAAAAAAATATTAAATGAGTTTTGGCCGTGGCTAGCATGTGTTAAGCCGAGTTGTAATTTGCTCTAAAATAGTTTTTTCTTATTTTGCTTGCCCGTTTACAACAGTCTATATTGAATTGGCTTAACTTCGTAAACTTATTTTTTTGTGAGGTACCTGGACTTTTAGGCCGGAAAACCTCAAAATCCTTTGAATGCCCCGGGGGGTCGCCAGAACGATTTACCGAGAACTAAATTCCGGGATCAAATCATGTTTGCTCTCACAGTGTTAAGCGCATATACTTCAGTGGAGACGTTAAGATCTTCAACACATTACATAACTCTGACAAACTATTATGCTGAAAAAGTGTTCCGTTGAAGCAGATTGGAGTCACGTAGACTACTTCCAGTGCCCGGGGAAATCGACACGGTTTGTAACTACTTGAAAGAAATCAATATCAATGACATCGTTGACGTAATGGAACAGAAATGAACAACTACCACGACTGTGCGTTTCCTATATATATGGTATTTTTTCTCCGATTTACCACATTAGTCCACAATTAAACTAGTGACTACATTTTGTAACACACGTATTGGTAAAACTGAAGTAAAATTGTCTCATGTATTCCCTTTATACCTATTTATATCTTTTATTAATTTCATCAAAAATTTCCATATTTTTGGACTGAATCGGTGGTCCCGGCTCTGTTGTTATGAAATGCCCGTGGTCTTGTAAGGTTTGGGGGAGTCAACCATCAAACCACCCGGGGCTCAATGGAGATATTTATAGAACGCTCTGAAGTCACCAATCAGCGTCTCCGGTTTTTGCGAATGTCGGGACCCAAAACGGATCAAGGCTTGAATTTTGCAGTATCGTACGCTTCAAATGATATTTTTTTTTGTCAGCATATTAACATTTAATGATGACATTTAGAATTTATATGACAAAAAGTATTTCTATAGTGTGAATTTATTCCTATAGTCCAAAAAGGAGTGTATAGTCGTCGCACGCGCCATTTTTTAAAAACGTAATGAAAACATTGACATTCGAGTCTGAATTACGTTTTCTTGCGATATTTGAACTTAAAAACTAATTATCTGTAGACAAAAAATGGTACATGGCTATCTTTTCTAAGACTACATCATTGTTATATTTATAAGTCTTTTTGCAAAAAGTGATCCGATTTGGGTACTGCCACCTTACACTCGACGTTGCTAAGTAGTGAGCGCGTTCCACCGGATTAGACCGCATCACTGGAAGATATGTAAATAAAACTTAAGTTCTAAAAATTAAACGTAGGCTAAAAGATTACTGGGATATTCATCCTTTTAAATGTATATTGGGGCAACCCAAAATCAAAATGACCCCCGGGGATGTCGTTTAAACTTCAAATGAAGTCGTCGCTGGAAGTTGCTTGGTTACATCTGTATCTGGATCTATCTTTACATCTGCAATTACTATATTGCAGTATTTCTTTGGTACATTTTTTTTTATTAAGGAACATATCCCTGCTTGATACACGTGTGATGGGAAAAGTACAGAAATTAATCCTGAATGCACAGAAAAGTGAATCTTCAATTGTCATCCGGTAACAATAGGGTAAATGTCACCCTTTTTGAAGTCGGCAACAAACAAATTATCATATTCCCAGGAAACTAGCAATTATCAACCATAGGAAATTTGCAATAAAACGTTCTTTAGCTGATATACGCGGGAGTTACCCCCCTTTATCTTATTTTATGTGGTTCGTAACTCAAATAATATCTGGGGGAGAGTAAATATTAACAATTTATTTGAGTTTTCAAACTGGATGAAGCATAAAAGATGCGATTGCTGTTCAATCCCATAGGTTTATCATTGGAATTAGGATTAGCTGAATCAAGCAAGATAGTTTTCTCCTTGGCAATACAAACAAAACATGAAGACAAGAGGCAAAGATTCTTAAATATATCGCTTTTATTTTCCTGCTTTCCTGACTCCCATTCCAAAAAAAAGACAAACACATCATTGTACAATATAAATACCTGTGTCCATTACCATTTTAAGGACATGTTATAATCTTAAGTTGTAAAACTTTTATAATTCGAACATATAAAAATAGTACTTATATTAAAATACTATTTATTACATATTTATACAAAATCTGTATTCTTTAACTTTAATTCAGAATTCAGGCGGATACTTATGAAAACTTTTCCTGTTATCATTACTTCTCTCACTGAAACTTATACATGAAGCTGGTTTTCAAACTTTCATGCAGATTCTTAACAGTACAAATAAGGGACGATTTTATTTACTACACCATAACACATGTTTAAGTATACAAAGTTGTCATTTTTACAGCACTAAGTAAATACCTAATAAAGGAAACAGATGAAATCTGTAGTAATATATTACAGAAATCAAATCACTTCACACTCCAATAAATGTTGTTCACACTCGCCCATACAAAATACAAATCAAGGGAGACAACCATTAAATGTACTAAAACATTTTCACTACTTTATATAAACTTCAGCTTCCACAAGTCACTCTCACCTATACCCGGATGGAACTGAAATGTGAAAATAACTGGGGATGTCAACATCGAAACTTGTAACTGGACATTGGTATGAGTTCTGGCTCATTCCTATTTACCTTAGAATGACTGTTGGAAATTAAACATCCTCAAAAACATTTCATTCCCAGGAAAAAATCTGATATGAATGGTTTAAGGACAGCAGAGTATTTCAAAAGAATAAACACTCATATAAACTCGCTCCTGAATCAACGGGTTTTCAATTCTAGGAATTTCCCCCCCTCAAAATTTGTGCTTAGTAACAAAATTAGTCTAAAATGACAATTTTGTGTCATTGATTATTTTAAAAAAATTGTCCATATCGGATCTTGAGGTTTTAGCTTAACTCATTCACCCTTGAATTTCATAATGAACTATTTCAACCTTTGAATTGGAAGAGTTCAAATGTGTCTTCATGGGAAATTGAGTTAAAGACATATAATGGTAAAATTGAAATAGATCATATTTCTTAATTATTAAAACTTTTAACAAAATATGCATATCCTGTATGAAATTAAAAACGATTTTCTTCAGCAAACACACTCAAACTACTACACATAGTATACAAAAAATTACTTTTAATTTGACTAACAAATCTAAGACTTATACAATTGGATTCCGGACTAACATAGACATATGGACCCTGAAAACTGGATATACCGCTTTCTGGATATCCACTGTCAGGATACAATATTTTATTCCAATACTGACATTAAGTCAATCCCTGGTTTGATTTGTATGAAAAAGACAGTATTCTTGAGTTTTATATTAAAATCCAAGGTGTCTAGTATGTATATGTGTACCTATATACTATTATGGCTTTCCCCCCAAACAATTTCATTTTTGTGGCTCTTGTATCTTGCACCAAAATATGGAATCAAAATTAAATCCTTAAATTTAACACCGGCAGAGAAAAGTTATCCCGAACCCTCCCCATATTCTATGTTGATGAACAACCATACATCATTTCGTATTTAGTGGCAGTATCTATCTTCTAAAAAAAAAAATAAAAAAAAAATCAGATCATATTTCACAAAAAATGATATAAAATACAAATCTAGTAGCAAACGAACATTGATTCATGAAATCACAGCTAGAAAGAACAAGAGGCCCATGGGCCTTAACGGTCACCTGAGTCTATAGTATTTATTTTTGTTGTTGAAATATGTACCAATTTGAGTAAAAAATAGTATAATGTTAACTTAACTTTGTCAGGACCATGAGCTGATCATTCCTAGACCAATTTTAAGTGAGATCGGCCTATTAGAACTTAGTAGCAAAATAGCGGCCATGGCAGCCAAATTGTATTTCTGATTGACCCGAAAAATAACAACACTTTGTCAGGACCATGAGGCGATCATTCCTACCAACTTTCAGTTCAATCGGTCCAGCAGAACTTGACTTTAAGTTTGAAATAGGTTTTCAAAATGGCGGCCGTGGCGGCCATATTGGATTTCTGATCGACCCGAAAAATAACAACACTTTGTCAGGACCATGAGGCGATCATTCCTATCAACTTTCAGTTCAATCGGCCCAGCAGAACTTGACTTTAAGTTTGAAATGTAAAATGTTAACGGACGACGTACGACGACGGACGAAAACGGATAGCAATAGGTCACTTGAGCTAAAGCTCAGGTGACCTAAAAAGAAGGAAGATTTGAATAATAAATGTGGCAATACAAAAAGGAATAGTGCATTTATTGCACTATAAAAGACAGAGAAAAGATAATGATGATATTTATATATATATATATGGCAATTATAGACCAACATTTGAACTGCTGTCTCACAAAGAATCATGTGCATGCATATAAAAAAGTAAAATTCAAAATGACAGGATTCAATATTCTAGTAAAACCCAAGGTTTGTTAAGGTGGCAACTCAATTTGGAAATTTCATTAAATGGTATTCTGCTCCCTAAACATACACAGGAAAGTGATTCCTCTCTCACACAATTCTCCTGGAGCAAACAGAATCTACTTGTTGATATTAGGAGCTAAAAAGCGAATTAAGGACCCACTGCACTATTGTATTTCCTATACACAGTAACCTCCCCTTAACTTCCTTTTGTATGTAACTGGAAAATATTAGCCCAAGATAATCTGTTGACCAGGTAGTTCATTTGGTTAAAGCAATAGCATAACAATCTCAGGTCCAGAATTCAACTTCCAGTCCCCCACTTCATTTTTACCCTCAAAACACTGTTGTTGATTATATTTTGTGTACATTTTTGTATTTCTTTATTATTTCTCATGAAAGTCCCCCAAGGTAGTTTTTTTTTCCAGAAATGATTTATCTAAACACCTAGGAAGAACTTGTTTATAGCTGTGCATTATTTTTGTTACTAATGCAATTGACTTGTTTTTATGTAAAAGTCTTGAGTACAATACAAAATCCATTCTTCTTACCTACTTCACAGGAACAACTTTGAGAGATACTAAATGTTTTTTTTTTTTATAAATGCCACACATATTACCGAAGATTTAATTTAAATTAGTAGTGATGTGAATGTATGGCAAGCACTCTTTTCTGGTGAAATTGATGACCAAACATCGTCCAACCTGGGTATCCTAATGTTTCACTCTCTCATCTGAACATACACAAACTCTTGAAGCACAGAATGAACAAGAAATCGTAAGCCATTTTACATGTAATTTTACACAACACTACAAGAGATTCCTACTGTGAAACGAGAAATATTTCCTGTACAGTAACATTTATAGATCTAGTTCCAGGGATTGTATTGAAACTGGGAAGATATTCCTTTTTTGCTTGGGGAAGTAGCCTGTATTTCATTTTGGTTGTAATACTTAACTGGGCAAAACAATCACTGTACCCCCTCACCATACTCCTTCATACTTCTATAGAAATAAATATATGTCTTTTTGTATCATACTCAGTATCAGCCCTTCAGCCGATTGTTTATACACACACCAATAATATTTTTTACTGATGCACATATATAGCAAATTGTTATTGAGAAGCATGACATACCATACTTGTAAAAGTACCTTTCCCCTTGTATCGTATAGGCTTAACTGAAACAGCTCAAAGTCATCTCATGATCATTACAGATCATCCTTCTATCTGAAATATGATCACGTCTCTACGAGCAAGATCAAAAAGACACTGATGATACAGTAGGTCATCTACTCCATTTTAAGTCAAAATTTGGACCATGGGAATTGTGCATCCGTCTTTATCTCATGAAATACAACATCAAAATACTTCCCGACATCACACTTGCCATCTTACAGTGTTCAACATTCCCACTGTACATTAAAGCCAATAACGACACTTGCATTTGTTGTGTAAGAGTAATTACATAATTTTCCTGATAATATACGACTCTCACTAAAATCACTCTAAAACAGAAAACTTTAATTTTTGATTTGAAGTGCTAGAACAAAGTTTGTTATTGAAACAGGGACAACTTAACTTGCAAAAAATGCTAAATTGCTCCAAAATAAAATATTTATCACTAGTTTCATTTTTTTTTCATCTGCCTTGAGATATTGTATCCATATTATAAATTAAAAGACATTTACATTACAGAGAGAAAATGATCAGCAGATTGATCATCAGAAATAAGGTCATCAAACACAAGGTGAAAGTTCATCTATGACAAGGTCAAAGGTCACTGATCACAAAAATGGGAATGATTACCAATGACAATGTCAAAGATCAGCAATCAAGAAAATGTGGATGACGATGTCATGTCATTATTTCAAGAAAATGTTGACAGACACCAATGACTACAAGGTCAAGTTAACCAATCATAAGATGAAAACAAATGAGGTCAAAAGTCACAATCATCATCACATGAACAATGGGGTCTTACAATGATGCAATCTGACAAATATTGATGGAAAAACAGCTTTTAAAATTTCTGATGGATGATGGTCCCCTGGGTTACTCCACCTTGTCGTCTGGGTTGGGCGGCCCCGACGACCCTGGGGGAGCGGTAGGGGGTTTCTTATCCTGCCCCCAGGGACTATGCTGTAGGGCTGGACTATTCTGGAAGTCCTTCGAGTCCTCTTCTGTGTTGTTTGGTTCAAACTGAGAATTCTCAAGCCTTGTTATCAGTCTCTCATCCTCGTCACCAAACTCTCCGCCCATCAGTGTTGGCTCTCCGACTACCATTACGTCCTGTTGTAACATTAAATTCTATAGGATGAATATATCAGTATCCTATTCCTGTTGTAACATCAAATTCTATAGGATGAATATATCAGTATCCTATTCCTGTTGTAACATCAAATTCTATAGGATGAATATATCAGTATCCTATTCCTGTTGTAACATCAAATTCTATAGGATGAATATATCAGTATCCTATTCCTGTTGTAACATCAAATTCTATAGGATGAATATATCAGTATCCTATTCCTGTTGTAACATCAAATTCTATAGGATGAATATATCAGTATCCTATTCCTGTTGTAACATCAAATTCTATAGGATGAATATATCAGTATCCCATTGTAACATAAAGTGTATCAAATGTTCCATCTATAAATCATATTCAATAAAAGATATCAACATTTACCGTAACATTTCCATTTTCAGAAACATTTCTTGGAAGTGCTGAAATCTTTTCTAAATATTTCTCCTTCCTGAAAATATTCTGATATTTTTACTTTGTTTATTTAAGTGAAATAGAATTCCCGAGTCCTATCTACTCTTTGGATTTAAAATTTATATGTGCTATACTAGAAGTGATCTTTACACAACAAGGCAAAAGAGGTTAGATAAAATAATTACCCCCGGGACAGATGTACCGATACCCTGGGGCCCTGGAGAGCGTTTCTTGCCCGCTGGAGGTGTGGTGCTGTTCATGCCTCCTCCAGCACTACTGGCCGACGCCTTTCTTCTCTTCCTTTTGCCTGGCTGTCTTGCTGTGTCTGTACAGGTAGAATAGTACAGGTAATTATTAGTGGATTGTATCTTATTCACATAAAATTAAACCCTGATGGTTTAATATCACTCTGATAACATATTTAAAGTAGGATTATAATCACAACATACTCAAGTGTCACCAATTAAGTGGGTTTTTCAGTTTATTTGGCCGACTAGTTTAGCCTCTAAAGATGAAGCTTAATTAGGACAATTTTACAATGTTTAGACACCTAAAGTACTCTTAGGGAGGATAACTTTTGTATTGTGATGTAACATGCTGATAACATGCTATATCAGACTGTTTTAAATCAGTATCTTATATAATATACTTGGTCTATTTTTAATTCATGATGTACTGTGTACAACATCTTCAACAGACTTCCACTTTCATTTTGATTTAGAAAGATTTTTGTTTGGTGACATTTCTTTCCTAACATAAAATGTTATGAGGAAGCATACCAGGTTTCCCCTTGCCAGGAGGTGCCACCATTCTCTGCCACTTTTGAAAGAGGGTGGTTTTGAGGCAGTCGCGTGGGTTGAGACCATAGGCCTTATGTCGAGACATCAACTCCTGCATCGGCTCCAATATCACACATAACTGAAACAATGACACTGGTTAGTAAGCTGGTCAGGGGCCAGTTCTTCATAGCTTCCATTTGGAGGATATCAAATTACAGATTTTATGAAATCAATGAAATGAGTATAAGTTTGAGAATGAGTTACCAAACAATATAAATTGATACTAAAAGGAAGTTTTTTACAAGATGAAGCCATGGCATTGTTCTATGTGAACTCACAATGATTGTAATGATATGTTGGTTATCAAAACAGAACCACATAATGGTGTAAATACATGAACAATAGCATTTATTTCAGCATGTGATACTTTGATGATCATTTTAAATAAGTTCTTGTGGAATATGACTTTTAGGAAACAAGTTTGTTAATCTTTTAATATCTTTTCATACAATCAACTATTTGTAATTATAGATTTTGTGAAGACTAAACATCGGAAAAATCAAAGGAAAACAGTGTTGCCTTTACTTTGAAATTGAGACGTCCTTGTAATTTCCATGTGGGGTCACAATAAGTAATGTTATAATTTGCAAATTGAAAATTGATGTGGACTGCATAGTAGCCTGAGTATTATTTCATTAAGCTAGGTCACAAACTTAAAGTAGTAAACTCTTGATTATAAGCAGTGTTATAGCTGAGTGACATACCCGTAGAAAGTTAAGCGTGTAGTTAGTGAGGCCCTGCCTCGTGATGTTTTTAGACAGCTGTTCCACCATAGCAGGGTCTTGCTGTAATATGTAAAAGAAAAAAAATTGACGAACATTTTTCTCAATCAAATATTTAAGTACATGCTTGTATATTATCAATCTGGGTGAAACAAAGAAAACTTAATATTTGCTTTTGTACAAAAACTTGTTCCCTCTCACTTGCTAATATGCATACTTGCTTCACATTTATTTGACCTTGGACCAAGAGGATGGTGACCTACATACAGTACAATGCACTCCTTAACTGTCAATGAAACTGGCATACTTCATTAGTTTCATTAAGATATCTTGGAATTACAATCAATTGTTTAAAATGTAAAGCCAGCCAATTTCACAGCAAATACATTGCACTTATGATTTGAAATTTGACCTAGAGGTAAAGCTTGGTCATAAGGAACTTGATTTAAATTCTGTGTACTGCTGTTGGTTATTCAGGTTTATTTCAAGTGTCATTAGGGTAACTCCAATGGTTTTAAATTTATTGCCCAACAAGATGTTATTAGAAAGACCAGAAGACCTTAACCTACTGTTGGTCTCCCTTCCTTTTGAAGCAGGGAATCAACAAGACACAATCTTCAATCTGCCATTTTTGTGGAGTTTGCCCTAAAACCATTTCAATACCCCTCGTGCTTCTAATGCATGCTTTCTAATGAAAACTCAAATGTGAACAAGAGGCCCAAGAGGGCCTGTATCGCTCACCTGAATATTTAAGCAGTCATAGCAAAATATTCTCATTAAATATTATATTGCACTAAAAATATTTCCCTCGCAAACTTTGTTGGCTCCATCTGTTGAAACTACCAGCAAAATATTATTATAAGATTCTATGCTTTTTGATTCTTCTTCAGAAGTTGCTGGCCATATTTTTCCCTGTGATCTTGTAAGTAGGTCAATGTCATTTTCCTTCTCAAATTGGTTAGCTCTATTCCAAAAAGCTACCAGCCAAATCTTATGAATCCATTCCTTTTAGTTCTCAAGAACAAATCCATTAAAATGTTGTTGACCTCTGTGACCTCTAAAGTAGGTTGAGGTCATTTTCATTTGCAAACTTTGGTGAGCTCTATCCCGGGAAGTCACCAGCCAAATATTATAATTTTATGCCTTTTAATTCTTCAGAAGAAGCTGTTTGAACTGTTTGACATATTTGAACGCTGTGACCTTGAAAGTAGGTCAAGGTCATTTTCATTCGCAAACTTTGTTTGGCTCTTTCCCAGGAAGCCACCTGCCAAATATTAAGATTTTATAACTACCAGTTCTTCAGAAGAAGTCGTTTAAAGTGTTTGACATATCTGCCTCATGTGACCTTAAAAGAAGGTCAAGGTCATTTTCATTCTCAAACTTTGTTCGGCTCTTTCCTAGGAAGCTACAAGCCAAATATAGAGATTATATACCTTTCAGTTCTTCAGAAGAAGTCGTTTGAAGTGTCTGACACATTTGACTCCTGTGACCTTGAAAGAAGGTCAAGGTCATTTTCATTCTCAAACTTTGTCGGGCTCTATCCAAGGAAGCCATCAATCAAAAATAAAGATTCTATACCTTTCAGTTCTTCAGAAGAAGTCATTTGAAGCTTTTGACATATATGACCCCTGTGACCTTGAAAGTAGGTCAAACTAGTTTTCATTCTCAAACTTTGTTGGGCTCTATCCCAGGAAGCCACCAGCCAAATATAAAGATTATATACCTTTCAGTTCTTCAGAAGAAGTCGTTTGAAGTGTTTGACACATTTGACCCCTGTGACCTTGAAAGAAGGTCAAGGTAATTTTCATTCTCAAACTTTGTTGGGCTCCATCCAAGGAAGCCATCAGCCAAATATGAAGATTCTATACCTTTTAGTTCTTTAGAAGAAGTCGTTTGAAGTTTTTGACATATTTGACCCCTGTGACCTTGAAAACAGGTCAAGGTCATTTTCGTTCTCAAACTTTGTAGGGCTCCTACCAACGAAGCTTTCAGCCAAATATTATGACTCTAGGCCTGTCCGTTCTTCAGAAGAAGTTGTTTAAAGGAAAAGTTGACGGACGAGGACGGACGGACGGACGGACGCCGGACGCCGCGCCACGGCATAAGCTCACTTGGCACTTCGAGCTAGGTGAGCTAACTATCCAATTAATTTGAATTACCCCCGATTATCGAACAAGAAAGGACCACTTTTCCCAAAGGATTAATATTTTGGGAAGGAGATACATAACTTATGTCATATTGTGGTAGCATACACATATGTATATCAATCAAAAACATCTCCCTCCCCCCTGATTCTGATATTCTGATATCATTGTGGTTCAGTTAAGATCACTTTTGTAGGATTTCAGTATTTATTCTCCCTGTTTAAAACTAATTGGTGTCACGTTCACCCACACCCTGTATGTAAAATTATTGAAATCTTTGTTGAACAGGCCTCGCTGAACAGTTGCCTATCCCACTTTCCCCACATGAGAATATTTTTTTTTATGAACTCTTAAGCTTCTGTAACTCCTGGAGAGGAGTATCTACATCACTTACATTTCATGAGAGATTTTTGATTAATAAGTATAAACAGTAGGTCTGGTGACTGTATGCCTGCACTAACAGTGAGTCGGTTTATTCAAAGCAAAACAGTTTGTCTTGTTGGTTTAGAAAGGTTTGACTTTAACTTTATAAACATGCATTCTAATATTCTGACCTGCATTGCTATTACGCTTCGTGGGATGAGTTCTCTGTGTTGCCGCACTTGAAAATGCCAGGAACGTATGCGCATCAGGTCATCAAACGTGAATTCCAGGATAAGTCTCCCCTCTGTCACCACCTTCAGAATACACAAAAATTTCATGAAAAAATTAAGACATAGACAAACTGGGAAAGTCTTTTTTAACAACATTTTACTTTTAATCTGTTCAAAGCTGAAAGGATCTACATACATGTATTTTTTTTATTTTTTTTTAAAAATAGACACTCTATGTATTCCTTAAAATGGCTCATTGTACATGTGCAGAAGCAACTTCATCTGACATCAAAGGTAAAACCCGATTGACAAGGGGTGGGCTTATTAATGAGCATAGCTTATATTTTGAACACTATGACCTTCAGAAAATAGGATCTCGATCTCTACCACCCACCTGTATCACCCGTGACAACATATGACATTTCAACTCGATCTCTACCCCCCACCTGTATCACCCGTGACATCATATGACATTTCAACTCGGTCTCTACCACCCACCTGTATCACCCGTGACAACATATGACATTTCAAATAATGTACAAATTGATGTCATTGACCACCAATGACCTCCTTGTTCATCTATGACCCTGATGACCGTATGACCTTAAATGCACCATAACATCTTTTTCAATTTATTTAGCATAATGTTTCAAGTGATTTGATCGGCAATTCCAATGCCATCGCTATCTGTATTAATTTCCACACACAGATGTAGTCGGACGCTAATGAGCCCGATATCTTTCACACTTTTCATTGATTTTTCTCTCTATGTTTCTCAGAGAACAAGAGAGAAATATTGCAGACAGACATCCATGGTGAGTTAATGGAATTTATTGTAAAAGACGCAGATATTTACTTTCTGATGGCTGTGCGATTACTTTTACCTTGTGTAAGCATCGATCATTACTTAAGGATGGTGTGCTTAGTACGTTACAGTCCATCATACATGGTCTTCTTGGGTTTTATCCAGAACAACAAATTTCATTTTATCTTGAGAATTTTTCAGATATGAAAATGAGCAAGAGAAACATGGCTCAACCTCAAAAGCAAAATATCTTCAATTCAAATTTGGCAATTACCTTTTTTTCTAAATCTTTTAAACACAATCATGGGGGTTTCTTGTGTGGTCTACAATGATATTGAGAGAGGAGTTTGAGACACGCAGACTCCGGTTGAGATCTAGCTCTGAACTGCCTGCCCTACCCACCCTTGTCTTGTGCCAGTAATCTAATTACAAGTCCTAATCACTACCTTGGACCCTGGAACAATGTCGCCATGCTTTGCATAATTTGTGACTGTCTGCTATTGATTGTGAATTAGTTTGCAATGTACTCGGGAAGGGAAACACTGGCAGACAGAATGGGGTTTGTCATGATCACAACATGCAATGGTAATGATTCTCAGTCATAATTTATTTATCATAAATTTACACTAAAGTAGTCTACTTCACAGGCTTTGTGATTACAATACAGTCTGTTTCAATAAAATATTTAAAGCCCTGTTTTTCTCTATTTTGTGGCATCGATTAGGTTATAGTCTGTTTCATATACATGTTCATGTATTAGAATTGACAATACACATCTTACCATTTATGTTCTTATAAGAATGACCTCCAATTTTGAGCTGATTTACTTTTGGTAATACCTGGTTGACTTGTAATTAATATTAGACAAGAGGCTAAGAGGCCTGTATTGATCATATGAATATTTAGGCGATTTGGTAGAATATTCTCATTAAAAGTAATACTGTATAATGGGTTATTTACACGGGCTTATAATTTCGCAATCTAGACATGTGAAAGAACTCCATTTTCATGGTGTCTTATATGTAATAAGTACAGAGACAGGACACTTGATATATTAGGTGTCAAATAGTCAAATGAATATGCTTTATTACAGAATACTGAGCAACTACAAGAAAGTGAATTTTGTTACATAAATCATCAACAAAATATTATATGTGTGATATAATCTATTTTCATTTCTCTTCATATATATGAATCGTCACAACAACATGCACGCTATTTCATGGTGACAGTATGGTTATGGAGTCTATTATCACAGCTCATTTTTGCGCTATTCTGCACATTATTGATCTGCAAAATCACGAAAAATATCATCCCTGCGTAAATATCCAGCTCTACAGTATTGCCAGTCCTGGCAGCATAACAGTGCTCAGCGAGCAGATTTTAACTGTTTTTTGACTCATGATCAAAGTCTATTTGGTTAAAGGGAAAGGATCTCTTCTACTCAAGTTATGCCCCATTTTTGCTTCAACCCTCAGTCCCAAGGGTTAGCCCCTCCATTTGTATAATTTTGAGCCTCCACCTGAAAATCAATTTCAGAGAGCTTCAAGAAGAGTTACTGAAATCAATATCGAAAAAATTATCCCTTTTTGGTCCACATTTTTAGCCTTGTGGGATCAACCCATCATTTAAAAACTTTAAAAAAAATGTCTGCAAGACATAAATGCCCCCCCCCCCCCCTCATGGATGGGATGGGACAGACATGGGCAACACTATATGCCCCCCCCCTCCCTATTTTATGGCGGGGGCATAAAAATTAACCCCAACTGCCTAAGAATGTTTCCAGTCAAATGCGGTAAAACTCTGTTTAGCAGTTCAGGAGAAGAATTCATTAACTATATACTCCAACTTCATTGGGAACCTGTACTTTTAAATAATTGTGATCTTTGAAAGTTTCAGCATGATTTTTTTTTTTAATTTTCTGATAAAACAGGAAAACGAGAGGCCCAGAGGGCCTGTATCGCTCACCTGTTTCTTTGTTACATGCAACTGACATACAGGTAACTTAAGACCATTTGGTAACTATATATAGCTAGAACACAAGACATTTTAACATCTCTTAAACGGTTCTGATGGTTCTGAAGATATTGTTGTTTGAAACTTAAAATTTTAATTTTAAAGCTTTTAACCAAAGTTGACATTTGAATCCCAATTTGCACTTAAAGTTGACCTTTGACCTCATTACTCTAATGAAGAAAACAATTCACACAGCTAGTCTACATAACAAACCTAAGTATCATGACTAGTCCAAATGGTTTTTAGGATATTGTTGTTTGAAGTTTTTAACATATTTGACCCCTGTGACCTTGAGAGTAGGTCAAGGTAATTTTAATGAGGAAACTTTTTAGCACTCCATCCCAGGTACCTACTGGCTAAATATCATGACCCTGGGCCTAATGGAACTTGAAAAAGAGATTGTTTAAGCTTTTAACCAAAGTTGACATTTGACCCCCAACTAGCATTTATAGTTGACCTTTGACCTCATAACTGTAACTGAGAAAAATATTCGAACTGCTGGTCTTCATAACATACCAAAGTTATCATAACTCTAGTTCAAATGGTTCTTAGGATATTGTTGATTGAAATTTTTAACATATTTAACCGCTGTGACCTTGAAAGTAGGTCAAGGTCATTTTAATGAGGAAATGTTATAGCACTCCATCCAAGGTACCTACTGGCCAAATATCATGACCCTGGGCCTTATGGAACTTGAGAAGAAGATTGTTAAAGCTTTTAACCAAAGTTGACATTTGACCCCTGACTAGCATTTAAAGTAGACCTTTCACCTCATAAATGTAATTGAAAAAAAATATTTGCACTGCTGGTCTACATAACATACCAAAGTATCATGACTCTAGTTCAAATGGTTCTTAGGATATTGTTGTTTGAAATATTTACCATATCTAAACTCTGTGACCTTGAAAATAGGTCAAGGTCATTTTAATGAGGAAATAATTTTTAGCACTACATCCCAGGTACCTACTGGCCAAATATCATGACCCTGGGCCTTATGGAACTTGAGAAGAAGATTGTTAAAGCTTTTAACCAAAGTTGACATTTGACCCCCGACTAGCATTTAAAGTTGACCTTTGACCTCATTACTGTAATCTAGAAAAATATTCGCATTGCTGGTCTACATAACATACCCAAGTATCATGACTCTAGTTCAAATGGTTCTTAGGATATTGTTGTTTGAAATATTTAACATATTTAAACTCTGTGACCTTGAAAGTAGGTCAAGGTCACTTTAATGAGGAAACTTTATAGCACTCCATCCCAGGTACCTACTGCAGTACGGCATAAGCTCACATGGCCCTACATCTTTTAGAAATTAAAAAAATAAATTAAAAAATCTTTCAGAAGCGAGTGTTAACTCTGAAAAGGTCCTGAATACAAACCTGTACCTTATTAACCAGGCACAGCATGCTTATTAGGACATATACGGGATCTTACATTACAAAACATACACCTGTGACGCAAATAAATTATCTAAAAGGTCTTAATTGACCCTACCTTTGATAAAAATACATGATCTAACAAGTCTTAATCTCACTTGCATACATCTGCTCCCCAGGTTAATGACCTATCTTAATGTGTTTCCATGACAACCACAGCAGACTGTCTTGTAGTAATGGATTTAAATTATGTTCATTTTAACCCATAACAGTAACAGTTATAAATGTTCTATCACACAATCTTCATTTGCTTACTCTTGAAATATTTTGAATTATGAAAAAAATTGTGCAATCTGACCGTACCTTGGTGAACATTGGTTTACCATGATGAGTGACCATGGTAGCCTGGTCACAGTCGAGAGTGATTGAGGTGTTGTGAAAGGATTCCTTGGGGTATTTCAGGATGTAGTACAGATCAGTTACTCCTCCCTCAAATATACTCCTGAAGTAGCGAGGTATCAATGTCCGACCGATCGCTGTAAATGTGACACAAAATGTCTAAAGCTTCAAAGCACAACTCAATGATAGCTAATTCAAGCTTAATCATCTGCTGGACTTTTTTAAATTGATATTTTATTAATGTAATTCCATCATTTCCATGACTTGCTCCAAAACATTTGGAATTATAAAAGGAACAACAAATTCAGCAAATACTAAATGTTGATTTACAGACTATTTACAGAATATCGAACAGTTCACAATATCAATATCAATATGTCCAGCGTTATTTCCTTAGCTGTCGGAAGTATTCAAAACTCCAAACAAATTACCGAGATTCCACTGATCTCATTCAAGTATAGGTTTTTAAAGTTGCAAATACAGGTATGTGTAGTTCTCTCTATGTTGGTCATTGATTCACCAAGTCATATTCATACTTACTGTATCGTTTAGGTCCGTCCTCCAGGTAAAATGATAACGTCAGGTTGGCGTCATCCTCAAAGAATTCTGTAGTGAAGGCATCCCACCACAGGTTGTCACTGTCCTGTAACCGAAAAATTCATATTTACATATATACCCTATACATGTAAATAAGCTATAGCAGACTGAAGATTACTTTCATAATTGAGGTTTCTACTTTAAAATGCTGTTTTTTGAAGTTCTGCTTTTGAGGTTTCTTTACTTCTGAAGCACTAACTTTGAAATCATACTCAAGTGTTCAAGTTCTACGTATACTTTGGAAAGAATTTTTAGAATATATTTTTTCTTCTAAATTTTTATTTAAAGTTTTGAATATAAAATGTCATTGGCTTGCTATTATCCCATGGACAATACTTTTTTTGTTTGTTTGATTTTGTTTAACGTCCTATTAACAGCTAAGGTCATTTAAGGACGGCCTCCCCTGTGTGCAAGATGCATGCGTGTAGTGTATGTGTGTGTATTTTGGACAATACTGTAGTTCAATTTAAAAGGTAACATCTGAGTGGTGCAAAAGTTTGTTTATGATAAAATGTATAAGGCCAGTAACAGTCACAAGTTTATTAAGGCCAGTAAATTTAAAATGGTAAGGCAACCTATAGTAAAGGGAGGTCAGTTAAGAAAAGAAAGAGGAAGGGTAGAAGCAACAAGATGTAGACTATTTAAATGTGCTTTACAATTTCAGTTATACTACATGTATATACTAAATGTGAGTGATGATATTTATAATATGTTGAAATGCATTGAAAAACTCAGTTTTTTCTAAAATCTTAAGACCTAGGGTATATTGAGGAGGTAGCCTATGAATGTGTTAAAATAAGTAATAATGAAATAAAAACAGTCATCGAAAATACTTTTGGTTGTTTTCCAAAAAGGCATTAGTTTCTCTTAAATTGAGCTGTTATTATCTGCTGAAGACGTGACCTGTTAACGAGTTTGCTGTCCCAACTTGTTAAAGATGTACTTTTAGCACTACTATGCATGTACCTGATTCTGATTAGCCAAGTATGTGAAGAGCGTCCTGATCTAGGTTACACAGCTGTCACTACTCATCACCCAACCCTTATTTAGCTACATGTACTCTACCAGGTTCTCCACAGTGCACTCTTCACACACTGGTTAAACTCAAGCATTTGTAATAAATGCTACATCATTCAACACAAAACTGATGTAACATGCATAGTACAATTTCTTTTTACGTTTTTGCACCCGATCACTTCTGGCAAAAAAATGTTATTATTTATTCCATGCAACCTGTGCAATTTATTAAAGACAGATTTTTGTCAGATAAAAAGTTCTTGAAAGGAAGTGTTGAACAGGGGCACAAAATGAATTTATTCATTTTATGATTAGCATGAATCAATTAGTTGCCATTGAATGCACATTAAAACAACATTTGTTCCTCGTGGCCAGATAGGCTAACTCAAAGCGTGGGCTTCACGGATACCCCTAGCTGCTCCCTATATATCTGTTCCTATATAAATATTGTTGAGAATTGGATGTCAAGGTCAGATAACTGAACATTGACCTCATTAACCTTATATTACAAAACTGACAACCTGACCTTCACATCCGAGTCTTATATCCATACTACATAAATTGTTTATCAACAAATATTCCTTGATTATAAAGTACACTCACACCAAGTCTGAGGTACATATACATGAAAGGGTAGTCAATATATGCTTTGGAAACCTGTATTACACAATGCATTAGGACTTCAGGCATGGTCAAAGGTCAAATTGAGGTTGTAGCGACCTTCTTTTAGGACGCCATCCCATGACATACCTATATGCAAAGTGTGATGCCTATACATGAAACAGGCAGCTGGGATATGTTCCTAAAACTATTATCTTAGTAACTGACGTCAAAGTGAAATGTGAAAAAGAGGTAACAGTGACCTTATTTTAAGATGTGACACAGCCTTCCCATGATATGTACCTATATATGTACAAAGTTTGATGTTCATTTTTGAAACAGCAGCTGGGATATGCTCGGGGAAAACCATCTTTTAGTACATGAGGTCAAGGTCAAAGGTAAAATTGAAGTCACAGTGACCTCAATTAGGAATGCAACACACACAGCCTCCCCATGATGTATCTATGTACAAAGTTTGATGCCAATGTGTGAAACAGTTTCTGAGATATGCCCCAGAAATCACTGTCAGCATGGACAAATTCCACAGATTACATTTTGACTATCACAATTTGTAGACATCTACCAGAGTTAAGTCCATGCCTGGTATTAAGACTGTATATATTATATATGGTTACCACCTGTTAGCAGATTTATAACCCGATCATATTACAAGTCCTTCATGCTGTACATGACCAACCTTACAATCTAGCGTATTAGATCTGGTTTTTGCTATATATAAGATATTACAGCATGGGCCAAAAACTTCAAAGATCAAACTATACCTATAGGTAGTTTATATAATCAATGATGAACAGTTAAAGACTTCATTAATTATGTACATTCATGTACCAAGAATAATTTCAGGAGATATCATCATGCGGGATTCAGATGAAAATTAAAATTTTCTCATGAATTACGGTAAAAGTGGAAATTTTCATGAGTGGAAATGTTTGTGAAATGTTTGTGTGTGGAAATGCTTGTGAAATGTTTGTGTGTGAAATGTTTGAGTGTGGAAATGGTCGTGTGTGGAAATGCTTGTGAAATGTTTGTGTGTGAAATGTTTGTGTGTGGAAATGCTTGTGAAATGTTTGTGTGTGAAATGTTTGTGTGTGGAAATGCTTGTGAAATGTTTGTGTGTGAAATGTTTGTGTGTGGAAATGCTTGTGAAATGTTTGTGTGTGGAAATGGTCGTGTGTACATGTGTGTGTGTGGAAATGTTTGTGAATGTTTGTGTGTGGAAATGGTCGTGTGTACATGTGTGTGTGTGGAAATGCTTGTGAATGTTTGTGTGTGGAAATGGTCGTGTGTGGAAATGCTTGTGAAATGTTTGTGTGTGAAATGTTTGTGTGTGGAAATGCTTGTGAAATGTTTGTGTGTGAAATGTTTGTGTGTGGAAATGCTTGTGAAATGTTTGTGTGTGAAATGTTTGTGTGTGGAAATGCTTGTGAAATGTTTGTGTGTGAAATGTTTGTGTGTGGAAATGCTTGTGAAATGTTTGTGTGTGAAATGTTTGTGTGTGGAAATGCTTGTGAAATGTTTGTGTGTGAAATGTTTGTGTGTGGAAATGCTTGTGAAATGTTTGTGTGTGAAATGTTTGTGTGTGGAAATGCTTGTGAAATGTTTGTGTGTGAAATGTTTGTGTGTGGAAATGCTTGTGAAATGTTTGTGTGTGAAATGTTTGTGTGTGGAAATGCTTGTGAAATGTTTGTGTGTGGAAATGGTCGTGTGTACATGTGTGTGTGTGGAAATGTTTGTGTTGTGACCCTTTTAACTGATCTCAGTGTGAAAATTTCATCTTATCCTTCTTATGAACAATTGAATATAGGTCAATCCTGACCGAATCTGAATCTTAATGAACACCTTGAATTGGTATTAAGTAAGCTAATAAAAAAAACATCTCCCTGAATCAGATTTAGAAGATACAGTAAATATTCATTGTAAATTTCAAAACTTGCACCAAAACTTAATTTGATTTATGAGAAAATAGAAAAGTTCATAACAGGTAAAAATAAAAGAAGAAATTTTATCTTATTTTTTGTATTGACTGAAAAAAGACTGAAGCTCTGCTCATATGTTTCAATAACAGGACATGTACACTGCCTGAAATGATCATTTCGATTTTTCATCAGTCACTAGAATCAATTTTTATGTCTAGACATAGCTCTGTATGCTATTTAAAGTAACTATAGCCAATTGCAATTGCAATACTTTTCTTATATAGAGATGTTAAAAACAACAATAGTCAACAAAGAAAACAGACAGTCCCATAGCTATCTTTTACCACCTAACCTGCACTTTCTCAAATGTGCCCCCATCGAAAATCAAGACTCATAAAGGTTAGTTATATATCTTCAATTAAAATACTTTTGAAAGAAAAAATGCAATGCACATTTCTAAATATAATCTGCATTAACGTGTAAACAAATAAGATAGTATACATGTACAGTATTTGATAAAATACCATAGTTCCACTGTGGTAAGCCCTTGGGACATTTCTTTTATAGAACCATTAATTAAAACATCAATTTCATTAAATTTCACGAAAACAGATAAATTATCCATATTAAAAAAACAATGATATTTCTCTAAAATATTACCCTAAATTAGCAATACAATGGTAAAGACTTTAAGCTAATCAGCACAAGATATGCTCCAAAGGATGTGTTAAACAAAACCTCAGAAATAATTAACTTTTGATCACTGAGTATATCAATTAATTGTAAAGTAGCTTAGAAAATAATGGTTTGCTTCTTTTAATTAATACACAATGCTTTGTCTTTTTTTTTCATTGATTACCTGATTTATGAACACAGCTTTAATACAAGCACTTTAATGCAACTGGAGAATGACTGAATCAATCTTCAGACAAAGACAATAAGGGCATTAACTCTTGTGGAAAATCATGAGACTGGTACAGTATGTTGGATGCAAGTAAACATGGTGGAGATATTATTTTTTTAATTACCTTAAGCCTTCTAAGTTTAAAGGAAACATAAGGAATTATTGGTATTGCCTGGACAATATTGTATCCACGAACAATTGTGTGGGGGTATAAAATTTAAGACAGGGGTCATGCTACAGGTGCAGTTTAAATTTAAATCAAGGCATGGAGCAACTGCGTTTGTTTTGGGGGTTAATTATAAATCATTTACAAGTCAAACACAAATATCAACAGTACATGTTTCTATGACCTGTTCCTCAGCTTATATTCAATCAATGTTACGCAGTCAATATATCCAATTAGGGTGCATGAGATCATGGGTCTGCGGTTTAATAATCTCGAGATCAATGTCTAGCACTACTAAATACAACATTACACAGGTAGAACACGACGTCTGTTCATTAGTCCTCCAATTAAAGAAAACTAATTACAATTTATTCAGGAATACTAAACTTAATGGATATTTTCGTAGTTATATAACTTTTAAGACGGCAATATATATATATATGATATCATGGAATTCAGCAAAAATACCAAAATTCATTTCAACAAAATATCGAGTATGCTTTCAAATTTTTCTTTTTCTAAATAGTTCAAGACACTTATAGAAAGATTTTTGACAATCTGTGACTTTTTATATGGAGTTTTTTTTATATGTAACTTCCACATGTTTTTGTACATCCACTACAACTACTGTAGGTCACTCTCAATACCCTGATTACCACTGGGTCCATACTGTGGTACCTCATTAATCAAAATTTAAAACCCATTTTTTGGTTGATAATACCAATATTTTACCCATGAAAAGCCCCAAATCCTTACAAAGGTTATAGAATTAATAATAGGCCAATTTTTGTTTTATTTTCTAATAATCATCATGATCAATGTCCAGATTAAAAAGGTGACAATTAACTATTTTGAGCTTTGACCTTACCTCTGTCCGCTGCTGCAGGCGCTTGTTGAGTTCATGGATGCGGTAGTCTGGCTGTCCCATGTAGGGCGTGTGTCGCCTGTAAATGGAAGAGAATGGAGACATGAAGTAGGGATCAGATCCTGGCACCATGGTGGTCAGCAAATTGTCCGACTGCTGCAGAAACATCTCAATAGTCCGCCGGTCAGTGGTAGTCACACTTTACAAGTTGATGCATATATTGTCAAACACTGCACGTACACACAACGCGGTACTACACGATTCAAGTTTGTCACACAGTTATCAGACACATAATTTTGTCACACAACAGTGTAACTGTTGAATGTATCAGGCGATTATTACCACACACTTGTCGCAGAGATGTACCACTCGATAACTTGATGTACAGAAAACCGATATCTAACCCATTCAATCTGTCACAGAAAGGTTGATGTGAAACCAAATACCTTCTATCACAACGAAAACCTTGAACCACATTTATGTGTTAAAAAGACAATATGTATAAGCACAGGTTATCATGATGATTTATCCATCAAAATTTATTCTCTTTAAAACTAGTTTCATCTTTTAAGACTACATGAACATGCCCTCTAATATCCCTGATATACACTTATCATTATATTGACTTCCTCTTTTAAAATCATTTCTGATTTACATACTTTTTAAATCATAGATATTGTCTAAAATAATACTTTTTTGTACTTACGAAAACAACACTCTTATCCTAAACATAATTTTAACCATCAAATTACTTTAGATTTACCACCATTTGAAGAACAGATATACACCTCAAAACCACTGAGTTACTTTATATCACAGACTTTTTTCTATAATCACTGTTTTTATGTCTGAATTAAAGCACACGCTAGCTCTATAAACACATGTACAATGATTTATCTAAATGCTGTTTTGTCACTTCCTCATAGAATCACTATTTTTCCTTCCATTAATCTATCACACACTGTTAAGGATTAGACAAAGATGATGGTGAACGTTGAATTATGATTGTCTGGGGACAGATGAAGCACTATAGGTTAAAGTGTGCCTGTCATGCTGCAGATACACTGACTAGGTAAAATCCGAACATTCCGTGATAAATCCAGTTTGTCATATATGCCAGTGTAATCCCTTAGCAGACCACAGGTGGAGGTTTATATGTATATGAATATTGGCTGTACATTGGTAGAAACCTCTCCACACTTCGTAGTGAAATATTGTTCATTAGGTATATAAACACTCCATAGCGATGAACAATTTTCTCATCAAATGAGTTTAACACTTCTCCAAAGTTTCACAACATTTCAATAGGAAATCATGTGCTAAATTTTTGAGTCTTAAAAAACCGTCATAAGTTCCACAATATTACAATACAAAATCCAAGCCTGAATTTCCACGAGTTTAATTATTCCTCAATACTAAATTTCACTATGAAATTTGAGATCTGACAAATATTGCTTTGAAGGAAGAGACAGCATGTTACTCATAGCTGACGAACATAATCTATCATATACACAGTACACGTGTACATATGTATATAGCAGTTCACATACACACAAAATCCATATCTCGCTTATAGATAGGCGACACCTGTCGCTTAATGGACCCGCATATAGACGATTCTACAGATGACCATTTTATCATTATCGTGGATTCCTTGCATGTTCACGTGTGTCCACTCCCACAGCCCTGATCTGAGTCCAGCATCAGTACTAGTCTCGTTGTAACTCGATCAAACATTCAGCACAGAATCTCCTCAAATCAGGTGAACAGGCTATAGGGCACCTGCTGCCTTCCCATCAAATTACGCAACACTTTCAGGTTTGAATTCTCTCCATTTTTTAAGTGAATGTGTGTGCACCAATCCTTAACTGTTTCAATTAAATGGCAACCATGGGAACATCAAGCGGGTCGGGATTTTCCTCGTTAACAAAATTAAGTTTGAACAGAATCCTATCGTTACGTGCTTAATTTCTTTGAGCTGAGGAATGCTCTGCTAATAAACTTCCGGTAATGCGTATGCACGGGCAGACACGCACGTGTACCTTTTACAAGATCCAGAGCACACACATATTGTACATGCTGAGGCACCAGTGTCATCGCTACAGCATTAAATACACTGACCATCACAGCCACAAATTAATAAATGTTGCTCCCTAGCTAGTTTTTGCAATTGAATCAGATTTTAATTGATTCTTCTAAAACAATTCAATTGTCAGGAGAATTATCTTTTAAATTCTGAACGTAAACTCCAGTCGCCATACGAATTTGATATTAATCTCCAGATCAACAATCTGAAAATGATTCTCAGCTTAAATTTCATCCAATCGTTGCATAAAATTAAAATCAACATATTTTTTCATCGCTTCATGTGTTTGGCTACAGTTTTCCAAACAAAATTCATTATAAAGTTATCCTCGCATGTTGAGAGGTAAAACCACACTGGAGAACAAACTGAAGCAAAAACCCATGATACAATTAATCAAGATGGATGTTGTACATGTACATGTATAAATAAGTTTGTTGAACAAGAGACCACGGCTAAGGTCAGCTTCGTGGCTATCTGACGAGATCCGCAATGTTAGTCATTTCCTGGTCTGTAGTATAGGTCTTTGTGTAAGGACATAAAACAAAATACAACCACTTTTATCTGTAATATATTAGAAGCCCCTTAACATGTGTGGAACCCCCCCCTCCCGGCCAAAATTTCACTTCTCCACAGGTTCTAGATAAAAAAATCAATGTCAGACTATCTGTCAGTGGAATGTGTGTATATGCATATGTATGATGGTGTGGCCAGCTGTCATAAAAACTATAGCGAAATATCATTTATGATAATTGCAGACAAAATTTTCAGACAAATGGGGGAAGAGACTGCATAACCTCTTCAGTGCACATCTGTCTGATAGAAATGTACAGACATTTCCACACATCTCCAGATCTTTTAATATAATCTTAATTCAAAGAAGTGGTAAAGTGTGATATTTTTATAACAACTATCTCCAAATGGAATGGTAGTTTTAATCAAGATGTTTTTATTTGTCTCTAGTTGTCTAGTTATATTTAGAGTTGTAGTCCTACAATTGTCAACGAGATTGCAGACAAATCAAATAGCATGATTATTTGTCTGCAATATTCTCTTCAGTGCAATAATTAAATACCTTTCCCCCTGAATGATTATGACAAATGATATTTAAATTATAAGATTCTGTTCCTCTCAATTTTTTTCAGTTTGAAAGTTCTGTCTCCATGGCCATCACACATGACTGATCATAATGTCAGTTTGATATCCTTTTATTTCGGTTTGAAAGTTTTTCTCCACGGCCATGCATGTGGTCGTGTGACACATTGGTGACAGATTAATATTAAGTTTGAAAGTGCTGTCTCCATGGTCATCAAATATTGGTAATGGATTCTATTTCTTAAACATTTCAGTTTGAAAGCTTCTCCATGGCAGTTAGACATTCTATTCCTCTTACATTTCAGTTTGAAGGCTTCTCTATTGCCATGGCTGTCACACATGGGTGAAAGATTCCATTCCTCTTACATTTCTATTAAAATAGGGCCATTATTTTGAGGAAATATGGTTACCAAGCAAACCTCTCGGAGGTGATTATATTAATCATATGATCAAGACAATGAAACTAAATTTGTAGCGTTCCGTTTATTAAATATAGTTGTTGAATACAAAATCTACAAAACTTAAATTCACGGGTTATCAACAACGGTGTAAACGTGCAGATGTTGGACGGATCTCCTTGATGTTAAAGTAAGGTAAAAGTACACGGTGTCTGTGTTGAAGTGCATGCACTTCCTGGACCCTGATGTTAACAGTAAGATAATACATAAGCTTAAGTCATTCACCCCTGAAGTTTCATAATGAACTATTCCAACCTTTTAATTGGAAGAGTTCAAATGTGTCTGCAGGGGTGAATGAGTTAACAGGTTAACACAAATGTTCTATTATAGTTTTATAATTAATGAAACTTGAAATTAAATCTTCATGTACAGGTCAATTCACAATGAACAAGACAAGAGATCAGTATCACACACACGGAAAAAAACATTTTCAATAAATCAGAAAAAAAAAGTGTTTAAAATTTTTATTTAAAAAAAAGTAAAGTTTGCAAGCCTTTCAAAAACAATACATGAACAGCTCAGTTGTTTTCTATAAGCTCATGCATACAAAGTAGACCAGACATTTAAAAATGTCTACAGAACTGTGGTACTGTTTGTAGGGATACTTAAAAATGTTACCTGTTTCTGAGCTTATTTATATATGAATCAATAGTTTTAGGCAATCCTACCATAACGAAATTGTTTTGCAGCTTTGTACAGAAACTATAACAAAGTTTGTTTTTCATACTTAGATGTGATAGCTTTAAATCAAAAGACAGTTTTTGCTGTGGTATAGATATTTTTAATGATTTCATTTTATAAAAGCTACTACACATACACAGATTAATCAAGCTTACAGTACTTGATAAAATCAAGCTTTGGGCTACCGCCTGTATCTAACAGTAACCTCTAGCCCACATTCTCCAGGATGGGATCATGATTTATCTCCCTGGCAATGTTACAGAGGATCTGCAGCCCGAGGGGGTCAGGCGGCTGACCTCTGATGACCTTAACCAGCGGTGGTGGCTGTTGTAATGTCTACCACTAGCTCACACGACAGATTGCTGATGTCAAATGTTCTTGTGACAAACCCAAATAGCCTACACGATAGCAGGATATGTAATATGTCTGTCTGCCACTGGTGAATCAACTGTCCAATTATCTTGTTTTTTGGCGTCTATAACAGTACATTCGATCACCTTAAATACACGTGCTGTGCCCAATACAGCAGCTTCTTCCTGCAATGATTTTCTCTTAAAAAAAAGTCAGGCGACAAAGAAATTTTCAGGGCACAAGCTAAAGGTCTCCTGTTGTTGGCTGCAAGTTAGCTACACATGTACCTGGAAATACATTACATGCGATAGATTTTGTTTTTGTTAACGGAAGATGAGCGGTTATAGAGAACCCAGAATATGTGCCCTCCCCTACTATCCATGAATCTCCTCTTCAGACAATATTCTAGTAATCTAATCAATCATGTATCTCCTCCACAGACAATATTCTAGTAATAGAATCAATGGACCAGGGCAGGCCATTTGCTGAATTTCGGGGAAGACAGATCCCAACAATTTGCATGTGTGTGTAATTTGCATGTGCCACAAACATCAGATGCATGTACATATAACTGGTCTTAATCAAAGATCATACAAAATGAATCTCAACCCAAAATCTAATCAACTGCAATGGCTCTCCATCAATAGCTTCTGTTTCCACATGATCTCCAT